AACCCGGGAGGCTGCGGCGCCGACGCCGCCAGGCCGCGCACAGGCGCCTTCTCCGCGGTCCTGGGCCGGCGTCTGCAGCCGCGATGCGAGCGGTGGCGGCGCCCGCCCGTTCCCCTCGGCTCCAGGAGGAGCCTCATGGGAGTCGGAGTCACAGTGAACCAAAGGGTGATGCCTGAAAAAGCGGTCGCCGGCGTGCGGCCTAAGACCACGGCCGGAAGGTGTTAAACAAGTGCCGCCGCTTGGCAGGAGCCCATCTGTGGACTAGGACATGCCCTCGGTCCCAGCAGATTAGGTGTCGTCACGAGCACCCTCTGTGCCATAGCACACTGCGTGTGTCTGGGGGGGCAGAGATGACGGATGGGGGCATAGTGGGCTCTTGGGGTGTAACTGGCCAGTGCTCTCTGCTTGGCCCTGAGTCCAGCCTGCCGGGTCCCCTCTCTGGGACCTTTGCCAGTTACCTCGCCTCTCTGCCCGTGGTCCTCCCCCCGCAGAGGAGGACACCGAGTGCTGCCACAGGGTCCCACAGTGTGAAGGTGACGGAACCCACGCTTCAGTAGGAGCCACACAGGAATGCTCAGCAAAGGTTCATTTCGTTGTGTAGGGTTTTTAAAATGTTTTTTACTTTTTAATTTGTGCGATTAGGGTAACCTTTGTTTTGGCGCCTTTCAGATTATGTTTCAGGTTTTTTCCAAAATCAAAACAGCTAAAAACAAGTGGTACTAGTCCTGCTCCTGCAGGCCCCCGGCTCAGCCCCGTGGCGCCCCCTACCACGGGGGAGGCCTTGGTATCCATCTGGCCCGTGCTGGGGGACCTGATGACCCCACTCCCATGGTCCCTGCCCCCACCGAGCCCAGAGAAGGGATGAAACAAGACCTAGGTACCCGGTGTATAAGGAAATGGTGGAGGCAGAGAGGTTTTAGAGGACTGGGGTGGGGCCCGTGTGCCGGGCACTAGGTGACAGACGAAACGTTCAGAGGACTGAGATGAACTGTCACAGTGATAGCATCTAGCTCAGTGGTTCACGACCGAGAACCAAACTGTTGAGAAGGGACTCAGGCCGTGCCAGTGGGCCTCTGACACCTCCCTGCCTTTTCTCTGGGAAGCGAGTGTCTGTGGCAGGGGGCGCCCGACAGAGCTGGTCTGGGGATTGATGGGCAGTCAGCCTGTGGTCAGTGCTGGCCGTCGTCATGACTGTCATCTCGTGTGCAGACGGCTCCACTGGATGCAGAATGCAGAGCTTCCTGAAGCTGCTGCAGGGGAACAGGGGTGCTGGCCCACCCTTGGAGGAGCTGGTGACCCTCACAGGCAGGCTGTGCCGGGACCTCCAGGATGACCCCGCCCAGGTGCAGCCCTTGGTCGCAGCTGTGCTCGACAGCCAGTTCCGCTTTCACCTTTTGGAGAACGTGGATGTGGCCCTGGTGTGTGCCCGCGCGCTGGCCCAGCAGGAGCAGCACCAGGCCGCCTGCCGGCTGCTGGAGGTAGGCCTGGCGTGCGGGAAGCGGGGCGCAGAGGGAGGGGCAGCCCCCACTGCCATCCGAACAAGATGGAGGGCCCAGAGTTGGTGAAAGCCGGGGGGAGGTGCCATAAACGAGCGAGGATGGTCCACTCTCGCTTTACTAAGTTCGATATGTGCCGTTCTGTCCTCAAGTGTGAGAAATTCTGAATTCCAAAGTATGTCCAGCTCAAAGTGTTTCACATGAGGGATTTGGGGACCTGTTCTTCCCTGTTTCACTCCATGTTACAGCCCATGCATAATTCATGCCGTTTACCTCCAGGATACTGTTCCGTTCAGTTCTTTCTGTTTCCACTGCCTCCTCTCCCGGCCATGTGGTGACCTCCTGCCCCTAGATCTGTTCCTCATGGTGCAGCCAGAGGAAGTTGTGAAGCTGCAGGCGAGACTGTGGGGTACACCTGGGCAGCGGCCCCAGAGCCTGCAGTCTGAGCCTTCCTGCTCTCCAGCCTTGTCTCCAGACTCTGTCCTGGCTTCCTCCACAGTAGCCATGCTGGCTTTCTTGCTGTTCCTAGAATCCCCAAGATATTTCTTTGTCTCGGGACCTTGGCAAATGCCATTTCCTCTGCCAGAGTCTATTGCCGTCTTTTCATGTGGCTAGTTGATGCCTTTCTGGTTTCTGCCTTACGTAGTGTCCCCTTTATCCTGCACTACAACCCCGTGTTCTACTCTCTGACCCCCTTTTTATTTGTGCTTCATCTGCTTCTCCTCGCTGCACTGCAGGCCCTGTGGTGAGGGGCCGCGACACCAAGCATAACACCTGGAATGGTGGAGGGGCTTGGTGTCTAAAATCCGTCCAAGTACATGGATGAAGGAAACGAGGGAACGTAGTTAGAGTTGCAACTGCCACGAAGGCGATCCGTGACGAATTGTGAGAATGACATCAGGGATTATAAAGTCAGGATGGTGCAGAAGTGTTTCTGACAAGATGACATGAAACAGAGACATGAGCGCTACAATGGGGCCACCACACTAAGAAAGGGCGCTTCCCACCCAGGGCCACGTTCCGTAGGCAGGGAGACTCCTGACAGTGGTGCCCGAGCCTGATGGCTGCATCGGTCACAGCCCACAGTGATGGGCTTTATCTGGTGCCGCGGCAGGACAGCTCAGTGATTCTGAGCACCTCCCTCCCAGGATGGTCCCGAGGACACCGGAGTGAAAGGCAAGAAACACGCACACTGACTGCAGTGTCTGGGTGGAGGCCAACGCCAGGTGTCCTTGGCCACCTTTAAAGTCTGATTATGTGAACAAGTCACACGAACCCAGTGAGCTGTCGCTGGGCACAGTCCAGGACTCACTTGGCTGGGGTGCACTCGCTGAGCCGCGAGGGGCTGGCCCTGCTGGGTGGGAAGAAAAGGTCTTCCACGTAAGACATGGGGCAATCTTCGGACCCTCAGATGTGACCATGTGGCTCTGCTCTGCCTCGTGTGTGGCCGTCAGCCTGTCACCTGCCGTCCCTTTGCCTCGGAGCTGTCGCTGGGCACAGTCCAGGACTCACTTGGCTGGGGTGCACTCGCTGAGCCGCGAGGGGCTGGCGCTGCTGGGTGGGAAGAAAAGGTCTTCCACGTAAGACATGGGGCAATCTTCGGACCCTCAGATGTGACCATGTGGCTCTGCTCTGCCTCGTGTGTGGCTGTCAGCCCGTCACCTGCCGTCCCTTTGTCCCTCACCTGCAAGGAGTGACAGAGCTACGATCATCAGGGAGCTTTGTGGGAGGGTGGAAGTGTGGACATGGTGGTGGCCAGCTAGGCAACCAGGGACACACTGCTGAGCCCGGTGGGGATTGGAGCACTGGCCCCTGGCACAGCACTGAGCAGCTCTTCCCAGGGGTCAGGTCGGGTCGATGGCAGTGCTGCAGGGTGGATGAGGGCGGCCAGACCTCAGCAGGCTCTTTCTGGCAGGGTTGCCGGGTTCCAGGAGGCAGCCAGGAGCTGGTGCGGCTGTGGAATGACATTCACTACGGGCTGGTCATGAAGAGGCGGGGTGTGGCCACGCTGACCCCAGTGCAAAAGTTCCGCTGCAGGAAGAGGTACTCCGTGGACCTTTGTGTACCCTTGTTCCCTGGGGCTCCCAAGGGATGTGCCATCCGAAACCGCAGGAGCTGAAGTAAGAGAGAGGCCGGTGACAAGGGCAGGAAGTCAGGCAAAAGGCGACAGACTCAGCATCAGCCATCGTGCCCGACACTGGCAACCCGCCACCTGCCCAGCTGGCCTTGGAGGCGCATCTCCCCCTCTGCCAGGACCCAGGCAGAGAGTTCTAGCTGGAGCAGGGATCACCACCCACCAGTGAGGACCCCGTAGGGAGGGAGGCGGCACCCTGAACTCACTCTCCTCAGGTCCCCTCTTGTGGGAGCTGCCCACACATGTGCTTTGGGTCCTCATCCATAGTCAGGCTCTGCAGGTGGTCAGGCCAATCCCAAGGCTTACAGATGACAGGTTGCAAGTATCAATGAGACATGTGGTACTTAGAAGGTGGCCTGGCACACGATAGATACTAAATCGACGTCAATAATAATTATCAGTGTGACCGTTATCCACACTAAGTACCTGTTACAAGTACTGATTATTATCACTGTCGTCACATGGATGAGGAAACGGAGGCATACAAAGTAGTGACTTGCCTGAGGCTACACATGAGAGAACCGCGAGGCCAGGATTCCGGCCCAGACACTGAAGCCGAGAGCCTCTGTTCTTGATCTTGGGTGTTCCCCACTGGTCAGGAGGGCTGGAATCCTGTCTTAGCTCCTGGCAGCCCAAGCCGTGGTCGATTCCTTAGCCCGGGGGCCTGGGCAATGGCCTAGTTACTGGAAGAAGAAGAGAGATTCCTTTTGGATCGGAGATTTTTTTTTCCATGGCGCTCGCCTGGTTCATCGGCCTTGGGGTCTTCAGGGATGCAGTCATATCCCTCCATATAGGAGCTGACAACCTGCCAGAGTGTCCTATAGCAAAGCAAATGATTAGGCGACCAGCAGGCAGTTTTCGTGGAGGAGCCCCTAATTGCTGGGTGCTGTTGGAGGTGCTGGGGATGGAGACTGGGCCCTGCTCTCCGGAGCCAACATTGGGTGTGGATGGAGAGTAGTCAGGGAAACAAAGTACATTCCATAATTCAGCGTGAGGAATGCTAGGCAGAGATGCATTCGGAAGAGGCCTGTGATGTGCTGGTTCTTTCCTGTGAGGAGCGGGCAGCGGTGCATGCCTGGCCAATTCTTGGAGGACAGGGCTCAGGAAGGGATGGCGGTCCCTGGGGGCATAAGGAGGGGGTGACATTGGAGTTACAGCAGACGGTCACTGCAGGAGCAGAGGCAGGAGGTTCTTAGGGTTCTAGGGTTGTGTCAAGATAGGTTTTGAAGGATTTGCTGGATGTATTGGCGGAGGAAAAGAAAGAATAAAGCTGGACTTCAGCACTTTTGCTGGAGTGTGGTAGTTTCTCACAGATGCACAGGACGGGGCCTTGGGGAAGATTCTGGGAGCCGGGAATCAGGCTCCACTTAGGATTTGGGATGTGTGGGATGTTTTGACATCCACGGAGATCTGTTCAGTTGGTGTCTGGATATCAAGTCTTATATAGACAGGTGCTGTTTGGTTATATGTCATTGTCTGCTTTTGCAAAAATTGAAATACACACAATAGGAAAGCATAACCCATTTCAGTGTCTTCATCCGGCTTCAACAGTTATCAGCCATTCGTCAGCTTTGGCATCTCATCACGTGGTACTGGAAGCCCTGGCGAGATCTTTGAGCATGTGGAGCAGAGTGTGGGCCAGGCTGAGGGGTCCCCTCCCTCGTCGGACCTCTGGGACTTTGCAGCATAGAGAGAGGGGAGGAGGAGCGGCCAGAGAGATGAGAGGAAGTCCAGAGGTGCCTAGTGTTGCACAGCACATGAGGTACATGCTGGAGAAGGGCCGCCTGTAACCACCTCCTCACTGTCCGCATCCAGGAACCCGCCGCCCCCCTCCCTCTGCCCTGATGGCCTGAAGAGCCGCAACTTCCCCAGAGAGGTTCGCCAGAAGTTGCATGACTTCGCCTCGGGTGTGAGCACCAACCCCAGCAGGGCTGAGCGGGTAAGACCTATGAGAGCTAGGCCAAGCAACTCTCCTCTTAGCTAACCCCACCGTTAGGTGGCACCCCCTCCACACCTCCCCAGGGGCCTGTCTGCCAGGGTGCTGCTGGTCTCCGGCTCTCCTTGACCTCTCCTAGGGACAGGAGCTTATTGGTTGGCCGACCGTGACCGTCCAGCCTGCACACGTGGAGGGGTTAGTTTTCTCACATGGGGTCATGACAGCCCCGGTTGCGTGTGGCTTCCGCAGATGCTCACTGAGCACCTGTTGCGGCCAGACACGGGGTACCAGGGTGAGGAGTGTCAAGGCCTTTGTGAAGCTCCCAGCACTAAGGAGGCAGACGCCCACGGAGCCCAGGACCTGCGGAGGCGGGGGACGCGGAGGCGGGGTGCTCGCAGGGAACGGGCGCGAAGGGGTGGGAGGGACCTACTGCTCCCGGGAACCCGGGCGGGCTCCCTGGGCCCCTCCGTCCAGTCCGCAAGGCTCGGCTGTTTTGCTCATCCTCCTTCTGTCCCCATCCAATCAGCAAAGCTTTTCCAAGCGATCGCTCCGCCGCTTCTGGGCCTTGTCCAATCACGAGTCTCGTTCCCTGTCCAATTGGCGCGTCTCTCCCCGGGAGCCCGCGTCTCTCCGCGTCTCTCCGCGTCTCACCCGCAGGGCCCTCCCAGGGATCGGCCCGCCCGCAGCGCCCCCATCCGATCAGGGCGACTGTCCCAGCGGTCCGGTCAGCGGGGCCGTCCTAATATCGGGTCACCGTGGCCGCTTCTGTCCCCTGGCCAAAAGGCAGGGCTCTCGTAACGATCGCCCCGCCACTTCTCCCGCGTCCGGTCGGCAGGGCGCTCGGTTACCGCTCCGCTCACTTCTCGTCCAGTCGGCGACGCCCTCCCCGGGGTCCCCGCCCAGCGATCGCCCCTCGGCAGGGAGCAGAGGGCCCTTCTCTGGGGGCGC